AAAAAAAAAAAAAAAAAAAAAAAAAAGCATCAAGAAGAGCCTAGTACTGCCTCTAGATGCATATCAGGTGTGGATGATGTGTTACAAGTGCATCAGTAGATGGCAGTGGCAGAGAGAGGCTGTGTCTACACCCAGCGTTCTGACCTGTGGACATCTGAATAATTACTAGCCTAGCATTTCCCCAAAAATGTGATCCTCAGATGACCATCTATCAAGCACCAGGTAGGCCCAGATTGTATCCCAAACCAGGGAGAAAGCTAGAGACTAGAACCCCATCTGGGACAGCAGGCCTAGGGTGGGAGCCCAAGATAGATGACCCTCACAAGGACCCTGTTAGGAAACAGGGTCTGTGAAGATTACAGGACGGTTTCACAAATCACACCACCAGACCGGTTCTATGTGGGAGGTTTACTAGGGGAAGGGAAAAGGGGTCACAGAGAGGCAAGCTGGAAGAGAAAGGGGGGGCTCCAGGAATTCTCTTATAAGGTGACCCAGGGCATGCACAGGTAGTTCCAGGTGATCAGCAGGTGGTCTGGTGGTTTCACAAACGCCAGTAACCAGTTTGTCAGGTCCCTTGGGGCTGGCCATAGAGATGCCTGCTTACTCATCCCAACATTCCTCTCTTTTTGTTTTGTTAAAAAGTGAGGAGTGAGGAAAGGGTGATGGTGGGGGAAGGGGTGTTGTCCTTCTCAGGGTACAGCTGGTCCCCACCATCGGTGTCATAGTCATCTTGCTCTGTGGGCAGAGGTTGATAATCCTGTAAGAGTAACTGATTAATGGTTTGGTTAGAGATTTTTTTGCATTTGTTGTTGGAAGAATGTAGAAGGAAGTTAATTAAGCAGGGTGCAAAAAGCAAAAAACAGAAAGACTAACACGAGAGGTGACAGAAGGGGCAGAATTCATTTCCATATGGGATTCTGAAAGGCCCAAGAGTTAGACGCTTCCAGCTCTTCCTTTCCTTTGTGTAAATCTGTCTGGAGTTGCTGGATTTTGTCCTTTACTATACCCAACTGGTTGACATAGAAACAGCATTCCTCCTGGAGGAAGAAGCAAAGGCCACCTTCTTTAGCTGTGAGGAGATCCAATCCGCATTGGTTTTGAAGTACTACTGCTGCCAGTGAGTCAATCTGTCCTTGGAGGGTTATTATTGTCTGAGCCACTTTTTTGAGGTCCTGGATGAATTGGGAAGAAAGGTGATAGTACAAAGTTAGTGAGGTGGCTAATCCTGCTATTCTAGTCCCTAGAGCTTCCGTGATTCCTGCAGCAGCCAGCAGGGGTAGGATGTGAATTGCCCTCTTCTCCTGCTGGGCAGCTTTTGAGTCCACAACCGGGATTGGTAGGGGCTCTCTTCCATTTATCATCCCCAGCTCAGGGAAGAGGAATACCAGAGCTCAAACTCCTGACCAATGAGCAGGCAGACGATGGTAGACCTGAGTGCCACAAAGAATTGAGGTAGTATTAGTGGTAGGGGATTGGGGTTGAGATGAGGTTTCAAGGATTACAGTTTTATTACAGTCTGAAGAATTTAGCATTCCTACAGAGTGTGTCCCAGATGCCTTGAAACAGCTCGCCATGCCAAAGAGGGTCATATGAGAAAGGTAAGGGGTTGTGGCAACCTCAGAGTCAGGGCAGTTAGTAAATGGTGAAGTGAGGTTGCTTGACAGAGTCGCTGCAGAGGCTGTCAGCAGTACCTCTGATTGGTCACCTGTGGTACACACAGCCAGCAAGTTTCAAAATGGCCCGGTTGGGTCACATTAAGGAGCTTGTAGGCCCAGGTCAGAGTCTGAAGTAGGAGATTAAATGACAGGTTTATGTTATTCATGAGAGGGGATGTTAGAGAGGTAATAATCTTAGAGGAGTATTTAATTATCTTTTCTACTTCTCCCATTCCCAGATTTTGGGTATTTGGGACATATTTTCTCTGGAAATGGATAGTACTTATCTGTAGATTGGGTGTATAGCAGCGGTAGAGTTTTCCAATGACGTCTGCTTCACATCTGGCATCCCACGGGTCTTGGATGTATAAGTAGAGGATCTTTCTATACAGGTGAAGGAGCTTCTTTTGTGCTGGTGAGTGGATGTGGCAAGACCAGTATGGGCAGCCTCCATACCTGTCCGACCATTTTTTTGCAATAATCTTTTGTTTGATCAAAGAGAAAGGAAACAAAAATTCTATCAAATAAGAGGGGAGGGATAGAAGTGGGGGTGATGGCTATCTCAATCGGCTCCCGAGAGCCTCCCATAGAACAATTTGTTGACCCTTTTTGGAGAGATTGTTTAATATTAATGATGGTTTCTTGAACCTCAAATCTCCATATGTAGGGATTACCTTTAACAGAAATAGGCAAGAGGGAGAGGAGGAAAAATACATATCCAAATCAGTAGAGTCAAACACCGCTCCTGAGGTGAGGGCTTATTCTTCTGGAACTGGAGACAGGGTGGTTGACCTTGGAGTGTTTTGGAGCTTGAGGGAGCAAGGTCCTGTTGGAGTTGATATGTAAGAAGGGGCATTATCTTGAGGAGAGGGGGTGAAAGGCTTAAGGTGGGATAGATGAATCCAGTGAGGGAAGCCCTCAAGCTTAGTAGCTGTGGGAGTCACAAGAATCACCTTGAAAGTGCCCTGCCATTTAGGAGAAAGATTGGGGAACTTTGGTTTGGAGGGGAGAGAAGGACCTGGTCCCCAATGTTAATAGGAGATGGACAGGGGTTAGTGTATGGCCGTGGTAAATAGCGGTCAGTAAAGACCCATAGAAGGAAACGGAGATGACAGAGTAAGGGAGTAAGCAGGTGGTCAGGGAGAGGAGAGGATTTAGTTGAAAGACCAGGAGTTAGGACCAGTCTCCCATACATTAGCTCAAAAGGTGAAATAGACAGAGGTTTTTTGGGGAGAGCGCGCAGCCTGAAAAGAGCCAGGTGGAGGAGTTTTACCAAATCGAGGTGAAGCTCTTGTGATAGTTTAAGAAGAGTGTTTTTTAGGGATCGATTAGTTCGTTCTATCTTTCCTGAGGACTGGGGATGGTATGGGATATGAAAATACCAAGGAATGTTAAGGGCTTTAGATAAGGTCTGGGAAATCTGAGAAGTGAACTCAGGGCCATTATCTGACTGAAGAGAGGTAGGAATTCCAAAACGTGGGATAATCTCATGGAGAAGGAGATCAGAAACTGTCTGAGCTCTTTTGTTAGTAGTAAGGAAAGCCTCCACCCATCCTGAGAATGTGTCCACCAAAACCAGGAGGTACCGGACACATTTGACTGCTGGCATGTGGGTAAAATCAAGTTGCTAGTCAGTCCCAGGGAGAGAGCCTCTAGCCTGGTGGGTAAGGAAAGGGGGGCTACGATATCCTGAGTTAAGATCTGAAGTCTGGCAAATCTTACAAGAAGCAGTAATGGTCTTTGGGAAGTATAAGTCCTTAGAGGTAGGCTGCAGGTGAGCTCTAATGAAGTTAAACAAAGCTTGACTGCTAGGATGGAAGAGCTGGTATAAATAGGACAGGATTTAACAAGTGTCAGGAGAGGGTGGGGGAGATGTGGGTTGTAGTATGAGGATGTTTTGTGGTGGGAGGGAGGAATCTAGGCCTCTTAGGGCCACAGCCTTAGCTGCCTCATCAGCCTGGCCATTCCCTTTGGAAACTATGGAATCGTCCGTCCGGTGAGACTGGCAGTAGACTACTCCAATGGCTGTGGGAAGGTGGGAGGTTTCTAGCATTGCCATAATTTGGTCTGCATTGGTTACTGACCCTCCCTTTGCTGTAAGCAACCCATGCTCTCTCCAGATGGCAGCATGGGAGAAAAGAATATGAAAAGCATATTTAGAGTTTGTATAGATATTAAGGGATTGTCCCTGGGCTAATTGGAAAGCTCCGGTAAGAGCTATTAGTTCGGCCTGTTGATTCGTGGTGTGGGCAGGGAGGGCTTGTGCCTCAACCACCTCAGTATCTGACATTATGGCATAGCCTGCTTTTCGAGCTCCCTCGTGTACAAAGGAGATGCCATCTGTGTACCAGGTATAGGAAGCCTGAGGCAATGTGCCCTCCTTTATGTGTGAGGGGTGGGGCAATAGTTCCTCTAAAATTTCAGTGCAAGAGTGAGATGGGGAATAGTCAGAGTTAGGTCAAGGAAGAAGGCTTAAAATATTAAGAGGTGGGCATGGTTGGAAAGTGAGAGTAGAGTCTTCTATTAGTGCCACCTGGAGAGAAAGGACCCTGGAAGGAGATAAAGTTTGTAAGACTTTGTATATTAAAAGGTGAGACAGATTGTGAGAAGAGAAGACAGTAATAGGTGACTCGGAAGTTAGTTTTTTTTTTTTTTTTTTTTTTTTTTTTGACTCTCGAATAAGGAGCTCTGCAGCCGCTAGGGCACTAATACAGGGTGCCCATCCCTGGACTATCAGGTCTAATTTTTTTGATAGATATTCTACAGATGCCAAAGAGGGTCCCAATTAGTGGCCCAGAGCCCCAAGGGCATATCCCTCTTTTTCTGTTATATAAAGGGAGAAGGGATAGGTTAGGTCTGGAAGATGTAAGACCGGGGCCTCAAGAAGAGCGTATTGGAGCCTCCGGAAGGGTTTAGTAACAGGTTTTAGAAGAGGTTCATGCAAAGGGCCTAAGGCTGCCTCATATAAGGGGCGGGCAAGAAGGGAAAAGAAGGGGACCCAGGACCGTAAGAAACCAGCCATTTCCAGAAACGATAAGATTTCTTCTTTATTGGAGAAAACTGCCAGCGACCGTATTAGGTCTTTTCTGTCTAGGGTGATACCCTTGTGGATTGGGGTTATTGTTATTCCCAGGGAAGTGACCTTAGAAGTGGATAGCTGGACCTTGGAGGGTGAGACCTTATAGCCCCTGCTGGATAGGAAATTAGAGGAGCAGAAGTGTTAATTTAGCTAAATTAACTTGTAGGGATGGGTTACAGAGGAGAAGGTCATCTACATTCTGTATAAGTTTAGATTTAGGGAGAGATAAGGAGAATAGATCAGAGGCTAGGGCCTGGCCAAAAAGATGTGGGCTGTCCCAGAATCCCTGGGGTAAAACAGTCCAGGTAAGCTGAGTAGAGACCAGGGTGTCAGGGTCAGTCTAGGTAAAGGCAAAGATATTTTGTAGCTGGGTGTCTAAGGGAATAGAGAAAAATGCATCCTTGAGATCCAGAACTGAGAAATGGGAAGTACCTGAGGGGATAG